CTGCCTCCAGGAGAGAGCGCCTCCATCAGGTTGGAGTACGTCACTGAGCTGGCTGTGCAGGCTGATGATGGTCTGAGGTTCTGTCTGCCTGCTGTGCTCAACCCTCGATACCAACCTCAGGGTAGGACAACTGTAGCTTTTCTTTTGATCCTGCTTGCCTTTTGTGTTGTTCTCTGTCAAGATAACCTTTGTTGCCACTGATTTTCAGTCCACCTCTTGTGTAAATTCGTATGCCTCGAACCCTTTTTCCCTTTTATAAGAATGGCTTCTTGATAGCCACCCTCCTTTTGAGAGCGTTTCTGATGAAGCTTCAATGAACAGTAAATGGATCAACTAAAGACCCAGATCAATCCCTCGGGTCCTGTTAGCTGTTCGCTGGATCTTTTTCCTATTTCTTAAGGACATGACTTTCAAATCATTATGTGCTGTAGATAGTTTGTTAGGCCTGGCACTTCTTCACCTGTCTGGTTTGCACAATGTTTTAAGGACACACTGCACAGCTTATCCAGATATGTCAAGTTTTTATCTAATAGCACTTTGGCAATCATCTTATTGGTGCCAAAATATTATTTTATAAATGTCAAAGTGTGTTATTTTTTGACTCTTTTTTTTTTTGTTTCAGCTAAAGAAATGGGAACAACTGATGTGTACTTGCAACAGGCTGCCTAAAGATACAGTTTAAAATTGTGTCCACTTTGCTAAGTTGTCTGTTATGTGTAGACACAACACTGGTTCCTCCCTTGAGTTGGGTGCTCATGAAAAAGGCACCTAACATAATATGTACACAAGCTTTTATTACTGCACCTTGTCATACCTGGGTTTACGTCCCCCTTATGTAAATGTGTATATGAGGGGGATTTACAGGGAACATTAAAAGTCAACATCCAAATATATGGCCCTGCAGATGATACTTAGCTTTATCTATTGTTGAAGCCAGATGGCAAACAACAATTGAACTAAGTTATGCTGAAAAACTAGTTCATGCATTTATTACTGCAGCGAGAGTACTGACTTGGCCTAGAAAACGAGAGCATATTTATCCCATACTGGCTTCTCCTAATTGGTTCACTGTCAAATCCAGAATTAAATTTATAATTCTTTTACTCTCATGTGACTTTTGTTTCACTTTGATTTGGTACTATACAAATAAAACTGAAGTGAAATGTATTAAAATCAACTAACAATAGAAAGAAAACCAGAACACGAGGTTCAATGAATCTTTCTGTGAACCTTGAAGTTGATACTGTAACAAAAGATTTACTTCTAATCAGTCTGATACTGTTTACAGGTAGTGCAGGTGCAGGTTTCCAGGTCATTTCTGTTCCAGCCTCTCTGGAGCCCTACAGTCTGTCTTTTTCTGCCCGAGTGTCCTCTCCTCGTCCAATCTCTAAAGTAGAGTCCAACTGCTCCCTGGACCCTCTGCAGTACCTCAACACTGATCAAACCCAGGCCACGGTAGGTAGAGTGCTGATGTGTCTGCTGTGTGTGGTTGTTACTTCTTACTGAGGAATAAATATGAATGTGTTTGTGGTGTGCAGGTCAAGCTGGCTGCAGGACACAAGTTTGACAGAGATGTTGAACTGCTGATTTATTACAAAGACGCCCACCAGCCCACTGCTGTGGTGGAGGCAGGACAGGCCTCTGCTGAGCCGGGTGAGTGAAAGTTTTTAGTTTGCAAATACACATTTCATTATCCTTACTTTTTAACAAACAGTTTATGTGTTGGAATTAAAAAGTAAAAAGCAAATTTATGTAATTTTTTTTTCTGTCTCTCATTTTCAGGCTCTCTGATGGATGATCCAGTGGTGATGGTGAGTCTGTACCCTGAGTTCCCCCAGTCTGTGATGTCTTCAATGGCTCCATGTGGAGAGTTTGTGTTCTTAATGGATCGATCTGGAAGTATGGAATTTAGGAACCACGGATTTCCTCACCAGACTCGCATCCAAAGTGCAAAGGTATTCATAATAGGTTTACTCTGAAATCTTTAATTTCATGATGTTCCTCTCACACAGTGGCCTCACCATCTTTTCCCTCTTCCCTTAAGGATACTCTACTGCTCCTGTTGAAGAGTTTACCAATGGGCTGCTATTTCAACATTTACAGTTTCGGGTCCAAATATGAACACATCTTCCCGTGAGTCTCTGCCTCACATCAGTCAGCCCAACAAAAGTTTGTTTTTGATATGAAGTACATGTACTTGTGTATTGGTGTTTGTTTAATGACAGTAAGAGTGTGGAGTACAGCCAGAAGACCATGGAGGAGGCTCTGAAGAAAGTAAAGAAGATGAAGGCTAATCTTAGAGGAACAAAGATCCTGAAGCCCCTCAAATATATTTACAGCCAGCCCTGCATTCCCAATCAGCCTAGACAGGTAACACAGACATATACACTGACTATTAATGCACTTTTTTTAAACGCCCAGCTTGAACAGTTATACAAAGTTAGTGTAGTGTCCAGGAAACAGTTCTGCTCTTTTGTTTGCTTGTTTATTGTGTATTACCATGAAAGTATTTTTGTTTTTGAAACCTAACTCAGCTCTCAGAACTAGTTGTGTGTTTCTGGGTCTGACGTTATGTCCTTATGTGCCAACTCTTCTCTCCAGCTGTTTGTCTTTACTGATGGAAAGGTGGGAAACACCAAAGAAGTGATCGATCTGGTGAAGAAGAATTCAGATTCTCACAGGTGAAACTACAAAAAAACTGTTATATCTGCACAATTACCAGAATGTCCAACATGTCCTCTGTGTACACAACAAAAACTCTTGTATTGCAGATGTTTCTCTTTTGGGATTGGGGAAGGGGCCAGCTCTGCTCTCATCAATGGGATGGCCAAGGAAGGAGGAGGCCACGCTCAGTTCATCACAGGGACTGACAGGATGCAACCAAAAGTAAGACAATAAGTCATAAGAATTGTCATCATGAAAAGACAACATGATGTTATTATTAGGACAGAATGATTAAAAAAACCCATAAATGTATATTTTTTCTAATTCTTGTTGTTTTCAGGTGATGCAGTCGCTGCGATTTGCTCTGCAGCCAGCTGTGGTTGACATCTCAGTCACATGGGATTTACCAAAGGAAGTGTCTGTCACTGTCCTCTCTCCACCAATCACAACACTTTTCCAGGGTCAGAGGTCACTGATTTATGCCCAGCTCACTGGACAGGTAGGAGCAGCAGCCTCTCATGTTGTCGTTTAGGTATCTGATGACAGTAATTAACGTGACTTCTAACACTGTAATTCTGTGTCAGAGCTCAGAGGCAGCAGAGGGCTGTGTGACGCTGAAGTACAGCCTGGCAGGTCATCGCTCTGAGAACCAGCTGCACTTCAGTCTCAGACCTGCAGAGGACACTGGGTAAATGAGTTCATATCTAGTGTCAGAATTAGATATGACAACAGAATAAAGCATTATGCATATGTCAACGTGACTGCATTTGCTTTTAACTCAGAGCACAAGAGCACCTAACTACTACATGTGTTTTTGTAGGATAAAGAAAAAAAATTTTAATTTCATGTCAGATTTCTGTTCATTACAGTTTTTTCTGATGGCTT